CTGGAATATAATATTCTTCATATTCTCTAATATAAATATCCAAAGGAATTCTCAAATTACATTGTTTATAAGATTCCTTTCATAATGTCTTTAACTTGATTATCGAACTCAATAACGTAATGGTAACAGCATAAAATTTCATCTTGATTGGCCTTTATTGCTTGTTTTTCCACATCACAAGCTTTCCGATATAAGGTGGCCAAATTTAGTAAAGTTTTACTTCTTGATACAGAAAGTATAGTTATATCACTTACATGATTTTCGCTGACCTGATTCGAATTTTGGGTCAGCGAAATTTCAGTCATATGATCCGGAGATATGGAGTTATAATCTTGGATAGATCGTTACCTGCAGATATTTCCTGGATAAAGCCTTGTTCACGGGAGATAATAGGAACGGTATTCTGGGAAGTTATAATTTTCTCTTGATCTCGAAGTTTCTTCTCCTTAATATTTTGAGTTGTCTCTTTACTAAACGTTTTTCTATGCTTTTTATCCAGGAATTCATTTTCTTCCTTCTCATCCAATGATATTAATATGGTTTCTGCGGGAGATATGGGGATCACCGAATCCTGGTATACAGAATTAGATGTGTTAGACTTCTCATGGGTATCATTAGAATTTAAAGTGTTATCGGTTATATCAGATACCGAGGTATCATCACATTGTTGCACTATCTGTTTTGGAGTATTGTTAGAATTTACTGGAGATTGAGAAATATCTTCCGTAGAAATACTTTTTTCTTTTTCCCCCTGTTCTAATATAGAGAGCCTAGTCTCAAGCTCTATATTCTTTTGCTCTAATTCCTTGACTCTAGTATCGCGTTTTGTATTCTCTTCTATAACCTGCTTTAGCCTCACATTCTCAGCCTCGATCTCAGAGTACTTTTTTCTAAGTTCAGCGATCTGGTGAACGAGATCAGAATTCAATTCTCTCAATGTCTTAATTGTGGATTGAGTATCTCCCATTGTTTTATACAAGATGTAAATATGTTCAAAAGTTCGAGTCTGATAAAATTACGTGATTTTGGAAAAGCAAGAATTATACAAATAGCTTATCGAAATTATAAGAATAGACCCGAATCATTAGCAACCCAAGCTTGGAATGTAATGAGAGATGATGGTACTTCTAATGATAAGAAATTTCTAGGTTTAACAAGACGTAAAGTGAAAAATCCTCAGACTCGAGAACAATTTAATCAATGGCATACTAAATGAATGGAATCTTATAAACAATGTAATTTGAGAATTCCTTTGGATATTTATATTAGAGAATATGAAGAATATTATATTCCAG